AGAGGCAATATTTTCCCTATGATAGTTATTATCGTTCCCATGTATCATTCCTATGTATAGTTTTTGCTATGCATAAGGAAAAACAACAAATTGCCAAGTGTATAGTGGCCTATTTCTCCCTAGGGTAATGAAGCCTGGATATCAAGCTGTATGTTCTGCTGTTCTGCCTTGATTGGTGACTTGATGGTTCAGCTTATGATTTTTTAACTTTATAATGGCATGAAAACTACATGAATTCAGTAGAAACTGAACTTCAAATTTTGGATTTTAATCTTTGCTGGCACTAGCAATTCCCATTATGGTACTCTCCAATTGGAAATATGTTCTTAAAGAGTTACAAAACTTTTCCTGAAAGGAAAGAAAAGCAATCTTAAATGTCTTACTTTTCTAAAGAACACGTTGCTTGATTATTTACTGTGCACTCATAAATTTCCAACATGTAGACATTGTCACTATTAAAACACATAGCTATGCCCTGGCTTCAGAAACAAAAAAAAATCTGCCAAATAATTTCTAATCCCTGGACAATGCATTTGTCTGATATAAATGTAAAAATATGAATATGTATGGACCAAAGAGCAGAGGAATTAGATGATGATGTTAAGGAACAGTATTATTAATAAAAAATAAGATACAAAGGTAAATTCCCCTTAAGTTTTTCAGCTTAAAACAATGAACATTATTAATCATACAGTTACTATGGGTTAAGATTCTAGATACATTCCATCTGGGTACCAAGTTTCTCAGGAGGTGGCTGCCAAGCTATCAGCTGTGGCTGCACTTTCATCTGAAGGCTTCATTGATGCGAGATTAACTTCCAAGCTCACTCATGTCATTATTGAAAGCTTGATCTCCAGCCATGTGGGCTTCTCTACAGGATAGCTGAAAGCTCTGATTTTCTCCAAGTTGGGTGATCAAAGAGAAAATAAGATCAACCTAAGGCTGGAGCCATAACATTTTTAATAACTGAATTTCAAAAGTGATGTCTTCTCATTTCTGCCATGTTCTACTCATTGTAAATAGCTACTAAAGTTAAATTCATACTAAGGAGGGAGAGATTACAAATGATCATGAAGTACAGTTTATTGATGGTCATCTTAGATGCTATCTCAGATTTGGACAAATATTCACTGAAAGAAGAGAAACAAGTTAACCAGGAATGGAAAGTAGATGACCTAAGAAGATATCACACAAATGAAAATTTTAATTAAGGAATAGTAATTGTATACACTCATAAAATACAATGTGATGTTCTAAAATATGAATAATGTGTATTTATTGACAAGTTAAATATCTAGTACCTCATTTACCTATCTTTAAAAAAAAATTTGTCTGAGCCTGGAAATCCAACTTGGTCCTGATGTTTTCCCTCATTGGCTAGCACTCTTCCAACTGAGCCATGCTTTCAACCTCTACCTATCATGTTTTTTTGTTTGTTTGTTTTGTTGTTGGTCGCAGAGCTTGAACTTTGGGCCTGGGTTCTGTCCCTCAGCTCTTCAGCTCAAAACTAGCGCTCTACCACTTGAGCCACAGCGCCACTTCTGGTTCTCTGAGTGGTTTATTGGAGATAAGAGTCTCACAGACTTTTCCTGCCTGGGCTGGCTTTGAACCAGGGACCTCAGATCTCAGCCTCCTGAGTAGCTAGGATTATAGGTGTGAGCCACCGGAGTCAGGCTGCCTATCATTTTCAAGGTAAGACACTTGAGGTTTACTCTCAGTTACTTTTATATAAAAAATAAATTATTACTGACCCCGGTAGATAGTTATAAAAACTTTATTGCTCCTGTCCACCAACAGCATATAAGAGTACTCTTTTTGTCCGTATCTTTACCAGCACTGCCCTTTTTACCTTTTTTGTGAGTTGTGAGGCTTGTCCTTGGGCCTCGGCTCTGTCCCTGAGCTCTTTTTCTTTTTTTTTTTTTAAATTGTGAAAATACTGTACAGAGAGGTTACAATTACATGGGCAAGATAATGAGTACATTTCTTATCAAGCATTGTAGCCTCCTCCTTTGCTTCCCCTTCCCATCCCTTCCCAGCCTCCCTCACCCCCCACCCAACCCTCCCCCTCCACCAAAGTTGTAAAGTTTGTTTTTGACATGACAACTTGTACATCTCATTGTTGCAATGAGTCCACCTGTATCCCTATTTAAACGATTTGTTTTTTTCCCTTCCCCTCCACAAATTATACTGACACCAAATACAGTGAAAGCAGGGGTTATGCCGTGGGGGAGAGACATGCAAAGCAATAAAGAAATAATCTTATGAATGTGTTAGAAACAATCACATGAAAGAAAAAAACATTTGAATACATACGTATCGTAGGGTTCATTTCCCTAACATCAACTTATCTGACCTTTTCTGCTTGACTCAGACATATACTAGTTATTGCAAATAAGGGAAACCATGGGACCTATGTTTCTTTGGGCATGACTTACTTCACATAATATAATTTTTCCAAGTCTTTCCATTTCCTAACAAATGGGGCAATGTCATTCTTTTTGATGGAGGCATAGCATTCCATTGTGTATATATACCACATTTTCTTGATCCATTCATCTACTGAGGGGCATCTGGGTTGGTTCCATATCTTAGCTATGGTAAATAATGCTGCAATAAACATAGTCGTGCTGGTAGCTTTAGTGTGGTCTTGTTTGTGTAAATGCCCAAAAGTGGGATTGCTGGGTCATAGGGGAGTTCTATGTGGAGTCTTTTGAGGAACCTCCACACTGCTTTCCAAAGTGGTTGAACAAGTTTACACTCCCACCAACAATGCAGTAAGGTTCCCTTCATCCATATCCCCTCCAGCATCTGTTGTTATTAGAGTTCTTGATTATGGCCATTCTAACTGGGGTGAGGTGGTATCTCAATGTTGTTTTGATTTGCATTTCTTTTATGGCTAGAGAGGTTGAGCATTTCTTCATGTGTCTATTGGCCATCCCTGAGCTCTTTGCTCAATCTTTGAAAGCTTTCTGGTGGTTAATTGGAGATGAGTCTCACTGATGTTCTTGCTTGTGTTGGCTTCCAACCTTTATCCTCAGATCTCAGCCTCCTGAGTAGCTAGGATTAGAGGCATGAGCCACTGGCATCTGGCTTCTTTTTACTTTTTTGATAATAGCCAGATGGTAGGTGGTAAGTCATTGTAGTGTTGTTTTGTGTTTCCCTAAAGATTAGTTAATGTTGGGCAACATCTCCTGTCTTTGCTGGCCATTTGTACATCCTCCTTGGAAAAATGCCTCATTGTGTCCTTGGTCCATTTTGTAATTCAATTGTTTAGAGGGGGTTAAGGTTTATGAATTTTGTTTTACTATTGGGTTGAATGATTTCCTTATGTATTATAAATATTAACCAGGGGCTGGGAAGGTGGCTCAGTGGTAGAGTGCTTGCCTTGCATGCATGAGGCCCTGGGTTCAATTCCTCAGCACCACATAAGCAGAAAAAGCCTGAAGTGGCAATGTGGCTCAAGTGGTAGAGCACTAGCCTCGAGCTGAAGAGCTGAGGGACAGTGCCCAGGCCCAGAGTTCAGGCCCCACGACTCACACACACACACACACACACACACACACACACACACACACACACAAATATTAACCAATATTGGATATATTTTTTATATATGCAAATATTTACTTCCATTCTAATTACCTTCACTTCTACCATACCTCACATTTCTCATATTTATCATCCTTTCTTATGTTTGTCCTCCTCCCACCTTTCAATTGGTCCCTTCTCATTCTGTAATTGTCCTCCTTCATGCATTTTTTGGATATAGTGAGGATTGAACTAAGGGACATGTACTCTCCAAGCCCTTTTTTGCTGTAGAGAGTTTGTATGGGCGGGATGCCAGTCTTGGGATTGGATTTTGGAGTCTGAGTGCTGTTCCGGAGCATTTTTGCTCAAGGCTAGCACTCTACCACTTGAGCCAAAGCTCCGTTTCTGGATTTATGGTGGTTAATTGGAGATGAGAGTCCCACAGACTTTCTTGCCTGGCTTAGCTTTGAACCTTGATCCTCAGCTCTCAGCTTCCTGAATAACTAGTTTTGCTTCCTGGCAGGATATTTTTGTCTCCTATCTTAAACTTCCTGGATTCCAAGATGGCTGCAAAGTAAAGGACACAGATATAAAAGGGAGGCTGGCATGTTGAGCTTTCGTGAGTCTTTTTCAGTTAATTCATGGATCAGAAAATTCTATCACATATATATGTATGGATATATGTATGTGTTTATAAATGTGTGTCTACAGTAGGTGGACTGGAAAAATTATATTGGGTGAAGTAAGCCAGCCTGTCCTATGTTGAAGTTAGACCTAAATTATAAATATGTGTGAAGACACAAAGAAAGTCAAATGCATATTTACACAATGAAACTGACTAAAGAATGGTATATGCAGGAATGAGATCCCACGGTGTAACTCCTTTGAACAATGAATAGGCAGTTCAACAAAATGAATACTAGGAAACTTAAAACATGTCTGGACTGAGGGGGTTGGAGACTAAAAGGTGTGGAGACAGACAAATAAAAATGAGGAATTGTGGATGAATAAAGCCATAATATCAAATGTACATACATGAGGACTGAACTAGAAAACTTAAGGTGACAGTTGTGGGAGGGATAAATGGGACGATGGGGTGGGGGGGGGGATGGAAGGGGTGATACTATTCCGAGATGCATCTTACACATATGTGGACATGTCAAATTGAAATCTCTTTTGTGCAACTGTCTGAAACAACCATAAAAGAGAAAAACAAAAAAAAATTCAGGTAATGTGCATCTGCCAAACGTTTATTTGTTCTGCAAGTACAAAGAAAACAATGAGCAAAAATTCTTCCTTGTCCCCAAATTCCATTTATTTATTAACATCACCACTATAGTCATCTTCCTTTCTTTCCCCCTTTACTTCCTCCTCTAACTGCAGAATTCCTTGTCATTTCCATTTGGGAGGCGGGCAGGAGAGGGAGCCAAGTATGTCATAGCCAAGAGGAGTGTCTACAGAATTGCTAGTATTAAAAGGGGAAATTCAAAGCACCAAAGCACACAGAAAGGAAGAAGAACAGGAAGGCATTTCAGAACTGAAGTTGAGCCAGCCGAGCAGCAAAACAGACTGGGACTGAGGCTTTGCTTGCCAATATCCCAGTGGCTGGAGATTCAAGGTAACTATTGATCTCCTTGTCTTTATTTTCTAGTCCACTGCTTCTGGAATTCAGGAGCTTCTGCATTTCAGCTGGGGACACGCATATCTCTGCCCTTTCTCTATTGAGAGGACTGCTTGTAAAACCCTCTGATAGGAAAAGCCGGCTAGAGATCTGAAAGCAGAGGGAGGCTTTTATTGAGAAAGAGAACTGAGGAAATTCAGATGACATTATATAATTTGGTTGATTAAAAAAAAAACACAAATCATCTAGGTACTAGCGTTTCATTTTACTAGCAGACAAAAAAGCCACAGATACAAGCTAGTTGGAATGGGAAGGGAATCCTGCTCAGAATTTTCTCCTACAAGTAGAAGAAAAACTATTTCCAATGCTTAAAGTTGTTTTGTCCTTTTGTTTGTACTTTTAGTTCCGCTGTTATCCACTTTGATTTCTTGGATTTCCTTGAATCGAAGCAACATAAAAGGTGGGAACCACATTTCTAATTTAAACTGATGATTCCATTCTTGTAAGTGAGTATATATTTAGGAATGATTGATCAAAAAGAGGAGAGAGAGACAGAAGGACCAAGACAGGAAAGAAAGGAAGAGGAGGAGAGGGGGCAGAGGAGGGGGGGAGGAGAAGGAGGAGGAGAAAGAAGGGGGAGGGAGGAGATAAGGGAAAAAGAGGAGAGAAGAGAGATTAGGATACAAGGTTTTCTGGCTTCATAAAATTGCAAATTGGTCATTTGTTTGTAAGCTGTCTGGTTTCTTTAGAAAATCGTTCTTTCACATTTTCAAGAATTAATCACCTGTCAATATAAAGGGGTTACATTATGGTGTGTTTAGAAATATCTGATTTGCTTTGATTTTTTTTTGCTTTGAACACATTAGTTCTTGGTTGCAAAGTACTATAATTATGAGGACAAATATAATAGCAGAAAGAAAGGATGCATGCATATGCATGCATTAGTTACTTTTCTTCAGCCGTTTGTTTGAAATGTTGAAATGTACAGCTCAGCTCTTCTGGGTTTGAAATATATACCTGGGTTCAAAGATTTTTTTTCATGTGCTTTAAACCATTTACATTACACATTGTCTTCTTTACTTCCTCCTTACAGGACTTTTCTTTCTTTGATTTATTGAGGGCACCTAACCACAAGCCCTTATCAACCTCTGGTTTGTGCACAAAAAAGAATAAATGAGACATTTCACGATTCCTTAAAAGGCTATTACTCAAGCAAGCATTTCAAAAACCGAGGTATGGTTAGATTGAATGAAATGATTTTTGCTTCCCTGTGAATAAAACCAGCTAAACTGATAATATGGGGATAGAGAAAGGGATAAAAGGGAATATTAAAAGATTTTATACAAAAAAGAATATTTTATATTTCAAATACATGCAAACAGATAGAGATTTTTCTATTTGGGAAGCATGTCCTGCTTGACTTCGTATATGACAGTAATAAGGGCTTTTAAAAATTAATTTCTTTCATTATTGGAAAAACTTTCTTTTTATTTCTTAAAAAAACAAGCAATGTCCTTTTGAGACTTCTAGCTGTAAATAGTCTTATGAATAACTTGCTGAGTAAAATTCCTATTTGTGTTTTAAATTGTTTGTGGTTGTACCACAGAGAGGTGGCAGCTTAAAGTTCCATGCAGTTTCTGTCCTGGCTTTTCTTCAGCCTTCTTTCTCAAGAAATAAAGATTGTGTTTTCAGAAGTTAGCTGAAACTTCCTTTGTAAATGTAAAAGGCAGAATCAAATACACAGCTTGACTCCTCAAATTGAATGAAACTGACTCACAGGATGTTAGAACGTCAGATGACCTGGGCAGAACTATTGCCAAAGCCAACAGGCTAGCTAGAAAGAAAAAAGAACATACACTTTACACTGCTTATTTTTAGCTACTTAATTGCATTATAAAATAATGCTTGTAAAATGGGGAAAAGCCATATTGGATTTCTTTTATTAATTTGGGAGGAATAAGTACACCTTAAAAAAACAGATCTGCAAAATCAAGTGCATGTATTTTTCTTATTCATATAAGATATTCAAAAGAGATTTCCATAAATGGGTTTATAGTTATATATTATAGTTTGGGGAAACTAATGAAATAAAAAAGATATTTGTTTGTTGATGATTTACTCATCATTTTGTAATTACTAGAAACTTGTTACTTGCCAGCTTCACAGTGCTCAAGATCCAGAGAGATTTAAAATTGTTTTGTACCTTAAGGTTATTTTAGGCACAGATATACATATATACATAGGTATACCAACAGCAGTGTTATATAAAGTTATGTATTTCTATAAATAATACAGACAGTATAGACATTCTATCTATGCTATGATAAGTGCTCTAATAAAGGTATTTTTAAGCTGCATTGACAAATAAAAAATAAAGTTAAAGAGGAGTCTTCATTTTATCAAAATCTCAGTGGATCATTATGAGACTTCTAGTGCCATAATCAACTCAGTGGAAAGATTTTTTTCACTGCTTTTCTTTAGACATGTATTAGAGAGAATTGCTGAAAAATATCAGTTTCAAAAGTGTTCTTTTAAATACCTACTACATGCCAGGCAGTGTGTCAAGTACTTTAATAAGCTTTATACTTTTCTCCTTATCTTATCAGTTAGGGTCAGGATAAGGAAACTGAGGCTCAGACAAATTTTCCCAAAGTTACCCAGTTACTTAGTGGTAGAGTTATGATTTGTATTCAGATCTGTTAGTTTCTTATATTATTTCACATGAAGGGTAAGGAGATTGGGCATAAATAGAGCAAAAATGAACATTTAAGGCAAGGGGAATCATATGTTTAAGGAATGTGGACATAACAAATTGGATGAGTTTGATGAACTGATCTTGATCTAGTGTGGCTAAAGGGAAAGACCAAGCAAGAACAAGGCAAAATCCAGATTGTAGGATTTTTTTCATACACTTTATATAGCAGGTATGAATTTCATTGTGATATCTTTGACAAGGTTTTTACAGGAAAGGTCAAAATCTCTTTTACATTTTACTAAGATAATTATAGTTGTGTGAAGGGCAGATTACTATGTGAATGAAGACTGAAAGCAGAAGAACTATCAGAATGATAATATTTACCTCATAAGATTGTTAAAAATAATGAAGTTATCATATGAAAAGAAGTTATACGAAGTATATCATAAGTGCTTCATGAATGTTAGATTTTATTATTTACATGAATACTAATATTATATAAAAGACTAGAAAAACAATTGAGTTAAAAAGTACTGAAGTTTCTCAAGTTTAATATAGACATTTGAGGGAGATACTAACTTTATTAAGTACCTGAGTTGTTTCTTGAAGTACAGATGGATGTCACAGAGGTGGAGTAAGATTTACAAAAGAGTCTGGTGCTATGGATCAGACCTGTAATCCTACCTAATCAGATGGCTAAGATATGAGGATCAAGATTCCTAGCCAGCCTGGGGAGAAAACTCTTATCTCCAATTAACCAGCAAAAAACAAGACGTATAGATGTGGCTCAAGTGATAGAGTGCCAGTCTTGAGAGATAAAGCTCAGGAAAAGCACCCAGGATCTGGATTCAAACCCCATGAGTGCATAAGCATGTTCTCTCTCTCTCTCTCTCTCTCTCTCTCTCTCTCTCTCTCTCTCTCTCTCTCTCAGACACACACACAGACACACACAGATTTACAAAAGAGTAAGTAAAAGCAAAAAATGAATGTATCATAGTGAGGCAACAATAAATTAAACCTCTTTTTTTTTTTTACAGGTAAAGTAATTAGATATAATGAAAAGTGAGCAATATAGTGTAGTATTAATAACACAGACACTGTTTGAGTTTGTGCACCAGCACAGTTATTTACTAGTTATAGGTTGGGTAAGTATATTTTTATCAATTATTTATTTATTTTTATTATCTTCAAATACTTGCACAAAGGAGTTTCAATTCAACACATCAATGTAGCACAACACATCTTGAACAATGTCACCCCTTTTATCATTCTCTCTCCATTGTTTTGTCATTTAAATATTTGCTTATCAGTACCCACTTCATCAATTAATACAGTGTCTAAAACATAGTAAGGCCTGTACAGTGTTAGATACTTTTATTCTAAAAGAATATGAGACTAGCTTTGTGGAGTTTGAGTTCCAAGGTGAGAGATTTTGATTTGATATACAAGCAAAGCAAAGCCACTGAAGGTGGTTAAACAGGGATAAGTGATAGCAATTGATCTGCTAACAGAATTTTCATTGTCCTTAGTTGGACTGGGGAACAGAGAATGTGAATAGGTAGCAATGAGAGAGATACCAGTTAGGATGTTCTCATATTAGTACAGGATATGACACAAGAAGTGATAGTAGTTGGGTGCCAGTGGCTCACACCTGTAATCCTAGCTACTCAGGAAGCTGAAATTGAGATTTGTGGTTCAAAGCCAGCCCAGGTAGGAAAGTGTGCGAGACTCTTATCTCCAACTAACCACCTGAAAACTGGAAGTGGCACTGTGGCTCTAAGTGGTAGAGCACTAGCCTTGAGCTGAAGAGCTCTGGGACAGCGCCCAGACCCAGAGTTCAAGTCCCAGGACCTACAAAAAAAAAAAAAAAAAAAAGGATAGTAAGCCAGGCGCTGGTGGCTCATGCCTGTAATCCTAGCTATTCAGGAGGCTGAGAGGTGAGGATTAGGGTTCAAAGCTAGCGTGCGCAAGAAAGTCTGTAAGACTCTTATGTCCAATTTACCACCAGAAAATTGGAAGTGGTGCTGTGGCTCAAAGTGGTAGAGTGCTAGCCTTGAGCTGAAGAGCTCAGGGACAGTGTCAAGGCTCAGAGTTCAAGCCCCACAACCGATTAAAAAAGGAAGTGATAGTAATAATAATGTATTACAGACAATATAATAAATGGTTTGTGGGAAATATGAATAAGAAGGATGAATATGACATTAAGATACCTCTGAGGTTTCTGAATTTCAAAATCAAATAACTGAGAAAATTATGGTGTTACTGACTAGGGGCAGGGAAAGGTTGGAAAATATAACATGGTTAGGCTGGAAACATGAATGCAAATAATGAGAAATAACATTTCACAAAACAACTTTATATACAAAAAAGTAATTTGGATGCCTTGAATTCAAAGTGCTCCCATAGCAGTCAGTAAGCAGTTGCAATAAATTGAAGTTTAAAAGAAAGAGGCCAGAATTTGGAATTATAGAGAACCTATGCAAGAATGTGCATTTAGAAGAAAGTGTTAAAAGTAATCCAGGGGGTGCTGGGAAGGTGGCTCAGTGGTAGAATGCTTGCCTTGCATGCATGAGGCCCTGGGTTCAATTCCTCAGCACCACATAAGCAGAAAAAGCTGGAAGTGGGCTGTGGCTCAAGTGGTAGAGTGCTAGCCTTGAGCTGAAGAGCTGAGGACAGTGCCCAGGGCCAGAGTTCAGGCCCCAAAACTGGCAAAAAAAAAGTAATCTGGGTTTTAATAATTGAAATAGAAATGGTAAAATGTGGTTGGTTATTCCTTAATTAGAAGCAAGGGATTAGATGTGTGCACATAAGCATAATCTTCATAATATAATGCTGAGAGTGAAAAAAAGAATGAAATATATAATAAAATAATGTATGTATCTACCTAAACTATAAAATATGTTTGGTAAGAATACATACAAACAACAAGACTTAGACTTGTCAGCCTATAGTGTATGTATATACAGGAATGAGAATGGAGTATGAGGATAAATTTTAATTAATAATAATAAGAGAAAAAGGTGCTGGTATGAACTGTAATAACCTGCCACGAACTGAGTGAAGGATTATGTGACACACAGAATTCAGAGGGACATCTGAGAAAAAAATTGAAAGGGCAAAGGGTGTGACCCAGTAGTAAACTACTTGTTTAGGGTACTAGAAACTATAGGTTCAGTCTCCAGCACCTGATTTAAAAGAAGCAGGTGAGTGTTGGTGACTCACGACTATAATCCTAGTTACTCAGGAGATGGAAATGTGAAGATTGAAGTTCTAAGCCAGCCTGGTCATGAAAGTCCTTGAGACTCTTATCTCCAATTAACCACAACAAAGCCAGAGTGGATTTGTAGCTTAAAGTGGTAGAGCTTTACTCTTGAGCAAAAAAGCTCAGGAACAGTGTCCAGGCGCTGAGTTCAAGTCCCAAGATCGGCGCGCGCGCGCGCGCACACACACACACACACACACACACACACACACACACACACGTTAAAAAAAAAGCATTGCAAAGCCAAAACAAACCATCCAGATTTACTATGCTATCATTCTCAAGCTAAGTACAGATAGAAAAGTTTATGCTTTTGCTTGAATTTCTTGAGATACAGAGTATATATTTTAGGCAAATGAATTCATATAAACACAATTCTCATTTTGTAAACCCTTACTTAAAACCAGTATGTTTTGTTTTTTTGCAGGTCAATATGGCCATGCCAGAAAAATCAATTTGTACCAATCCAAGTGAGGATTTCCGTAATTTCCCTGAGATTATTGAACTTAATGTAGGTGGTCAGGTTTATATAACTCGCTACCCTACTTTGGTCAGCATTCCTGGTTCCCTGCTCTGGGAAATGTTCAATGAAAAGAATCCTTGCTCCCTGATCCAAGACAGCAAAGGAAGATTCTTCATAGATCGAGATGGTTTTCTCTTTCGCTATGTGCTAGACTACATGAGAGATCTGCAAGTCATTCTTCCTGACCATTTTCCAGAGTGTGGTCGTCTCCAGAGGGAAGCAGAATACTTCAAGTTGCCAGAACTGGTCAAGATGTTGGCTCTTAAAATAAACAAGCTCAACTCACCTGGCAATGACCTATGCCAAAGTGACCTAGAAGAGTTGTCTCCCAGCATTGACACTGTGCTTAATCTCTCTTCAAGTAATACCATCCCAATTACTGGCCCTGATAGCAACCTAGCTGTGAAAATGGCCACTGGTTCTGATCTCAAGAAGGCAGGCTTCATCACAATTGGTTATCGAGGCTCTTATACTCTGGGTCGGGATAGTCAAACAGATGCCAAATTCCGCCGTGTGGCCCGAATCATGGTGTGTGGTAAGATCTCACTGGCCAAAGAAGTGTTTGGAGATACACTGAATGAGAGCAGAGACCCTGATCGTCCTCCTGAGCGATATACTTCACGTTACTACCTCAAGTTCACTTTTCTTGAACAAGCCTTTGACAAACTAGCTGATGCTGGCTTCCACATGGTAGCATGCAACTCCACTGGCACCTGCACTGTGACACATGACCAGACTGATGACAAGATCTGGACCTCTTACACTGAGTATGTTTTCTATCGTGAGTGATGCTTTAAAAAAAAAAATCACCCAGAAAATACAAACCAATAGACTACTTTTTTCTCTCTCTTTCTATTCTCATGCCAACTATGTCCTTTATAAATGCACACATTAATCACTCTTAGGTGTTGAGTCTAATTTGGAGCAATGACACTCCCTTCACGATAACCAGTAGAGCTTTTTTTTTTTTTTTGGTATTGTCCTTCTTACATGTCATCCCATTCTATGTATATGGCTTCCAACCTCTCTTAGATTGTGGATGGATGCAATTGAAGGAAAATATTTGATGTGTAGACATATGTACATACACATGACTCTAGATATACAAACATATTTTTTTGGTGAAGACAAATTAAGTAGAACCACAAGATTTAGTTGCTTGAGAAATGCTGAGACATCATTTCCAAAGTGTTTCTTAGCACCATATTTTAAACTTGCTTACTACTCTGTGTTACTTGTATTTCTGTATTGCTCCTTCTGAGCTAGAGGTTACTATAGGAAATGTGAACGCAATTTTTAAACTGTAAACACACACACACACACACACACTCACACACGCACACATATACACATACACACGAATTGCTATCATATTATCAGCCTGAGTGGAAAAAATTGACAACAGCCTTCCAGGAGGTTCAAAGAACGGTCAAGTAATTGTAAAATTATCAATTACTTTTAATAGAAAGTGAGTAAAGAGGGAGCAATTATGTAAGTAATTATTTCCAAGAATAAAAAGCTTGACACTTAAATTGCTTTTACTTAAAAAAGATAGGGAAGATGAGTATCATGGATTTTACTCAGGCATAAGCATGCATGCCATTGTCAAAGACTATCTTGAAGTATCTGCTCTGTTCATTAGAATTGAAATGAAAGCTTTTGTAGGCAAGGACAAGTATAAGTAAAGACTGTTTTATGCAAATACATATATATTTTAGTTTTGTTTTCACTGATCAAATAATTGGATGGGTATGTCTGCTGTTACCTTTTTCCTTAATAAGAAGTGTGTCTTTTGTGTTTTCATGTGTGTGTACACACACTAGCATGTTTATAATCTGGGAGTGGAAGTGAAAGAAGAGGGGGAAAAAGGGAAGAGAACCAGAAAAAATAAATAAATCAAAATTCATGTTCTGAAATCCTTATTGATGACTTTTTATTGCATAGGTTGAAAGCAAATACACTACTATGAAGATATCAGGGCTTTTGAGATAAATGATTGGATTACTGGAGAGTGTGTGGCAAGTCAAGATAAAGAGGCTTTGTGGGCTCATTTTAGAGGATTTTTATCTCCTCTTTGAATAGTTTTAAAACACCCAATTGATCAAATAGCCTTCTCTTTCTTTTATTCTTCCCTTTTTTTTCTCTAACACGTTTCTATTGAACTTACTATCTTTTGATTTATTTTCCTAGAAGATTTCTTTGGGTTGCAAGGAACTAAAAGCCACTGAAAGTGGCATGAGAAAAATAAAATGGTGTCAGGGATGTGACTATATGAGTATTTTAAAGATGTATCTGTCCTGTTGAGTGCAAAAAAAAAAAAAAAGATCTCTAATTTAGTTCCAAAGGACTTGGGGAGCTGTCAAGAACTGATATTCTGTCCTGTCACCCAGAGGTTACATGCATATTCTCTTATCATCTCTAGAGCCTGTTAGTTCTATATTTCTCCCTCCACACATATTTCTTTTGCCCTCACAATTTGCACCTTAACTAAACAGTTATATCAGCCTTTTCTTTCATGCCAGTTCTGGGACTTGAATTCAGGGCTTGGGTGCTGTCCCTGGACTTTTGGGCTCAAGGCTAGCACTCTACCACTTGAGCCACAGCTCCATTTCTGGCTTTTTGGTGATTAGTTGGAGATAAGAGTCTCATGGACTTACCTGCCTAGGCTGGCTGTGAACCATGATCCTCAGATCTCAGCCTCCTAACTAACTAGAATTACAGGCGTAAGCCATTGGCACCCACTTTATATAGGCTTTTTTTGTTGTTGTAGCTTGAACTCAGGGCCTGGGCACTGTCCCAGAGCTTTTTCACTCAAGGCTAGTGCTCTACCACTTTGAACTACAGTGCCACTTCTGGTTTTCTGTGGTTAATTGGCGATAAGAGAGCCATGGACTTTCCTGCCGGAGACCTCAGTCTCCTGAATAGCTAGGATTACAGACATGAAGCACAGGCTCCCAGCTTATATCAGCCTTTTAAGGAGCACAAATTTGCAGCTATATTCTTCATAGTTAACTATTTTAGTGACTTATTTCAACACACAAACCTAAATAAGCCAAGTTTTTGTAGCTCATGCCTATAATCTTAACTACTTAGGAGATTGAGATCTGAGGATCAGCAGTACAAAGCCAGCTCAGGTAGGTTGTCCGTAACACTCTTGTCTCCAATTAACCACCCAAAAACCACAACTGAAGCTATGGCTCAAGCAGTAGTAGCATAGCTGCCTGGAGCAAGAAAGCTGAAGAACAGTGTCAAGGCCCTGAGGCCAAGCCCCAGTGCTAGAACAAAAAGAGAATTAGCTTTTGTTTAGCACAGAGAGGTTGAATGAGCATCATTTGTGGGCAGCCAACCAACAGGAGGCAGTGAATATCTATCAATGAATTACTACATATGATTGCAAACAATCCTAAATGGCCTTCCAGTCTGCATCTTCTATGTTCTTCTAGTCATTGTGTTATTGTTTTAAAAAAATTCTAGGTAGTTGAACAAAGGAGCTGCCATTCTACAAATCAGTTTATGAATTCAGTACATCTTGATCAAATCACTCCTTTCAACATTCTTACCCATTTCTCCTGCCCCTTCCCTTACTCTTCTAAATTTTGTAAGATATACATTGAATTTTTAAGTAACTGCTTTAAAAGACAACGGAACACCTACCTTAAGTAAAATTCAGACCTATAGTAAGTATTCACATGATCAGGAGTCAATCTTAAGCCTTTCTGACCTTAAAAATATACATTATTTGTTCCGGGCACCAGAAGCTCATCCTTAATTCCAGCTACTCAGGAGGCTGAGATCTGAGGATCACAGTTCAAAGCCAGTGGGGGGAAGGTAAGCCTGTGGGACTCTTATCTCCAATTTACCACAAAAATGCCAGAAGTGGAACTATGGGTCAAGAGGTAGAGTGCTAGTCTTGAGCAAAAAAGTTCAAGGACACTCCTCAGGTCCTGTGTTCAAGACCCAGAACTGGCATTAAAAATAATATACATTGTTCATATTGTACTTGGTTAAATGAAGTGGTCATCAAAAGGGTGAAAGGGAGTTGCTACCTAGAAACAAACTCAGAACACATTCAAACTTGTTTTTGCCTATGTCTGAAGCCAAGACTCATGGCATAGCCTTATTCTATCTCCCTTTGGGTGAGTGACTTAAAGATTGAATTATCCAGAGTTGTGCCAGCAATTTCAGATTCTTTGAGTCAGAAGGAAACCTGAGTTGGAACAGTAGGAAAACCAGCTTTTTCAGAGTCAAAGCTTGTCATAGAAGAATCTCAGAAAATTTAGATGAATTCAAATCCCTCTCCCAATACTCAAATTTCTTACCTTTTCTTACACAGTTACCTTTCAGTAGTAAATATGGAAGGGGGAGCCTAACAATTTGTTAGAAATTTATATTTGCTTCACATGGTGATAAATACTCAGGCTAGAAGTGAATTTAGAGATTACATAACCAAAAGCCCTTGCTTTTCTGAGAAAAATGATTCACAAGAAGGTAAAATTTAAGAAAGCTACTGGTGAAATTGGGCCTAGAATCTAGATTTTTAACTCATCCATCTCTATCTTCACTTTCTATCATATTAAACACCTTATTGCCAAGCACCAGTGACTCATGTCTATAATCCTAGCTACTCAGGAGGCTGAGAGCTGAGGATCGAGGTGCAAAGCCACGCCTGGCAGACAATCTGTGAGACTCTTATCTCCAATTAATCATAGAAAAAAACTGGAAGTGGAGCTTTGTTTCAAGTGGTAGAGTGCTTGCCTTGAGCAAAAGGAGACCAGGGACAGTGTCCAAGCCCAGAATTTAAGCCCCAGGACAGGCAAAAATCAAAACAAAGCAACAACAACAAAAAACAAACCAACTCTTATTACCTGGAAAAAGCAGGAACAGTGTATCATCTATTACCTACAACAATGAAATAACATCTATTTCTTAGAAACATATATTTTATATGTGTTTTATAGATAGAACAAATTATTTCATATAGATCAATGTTCTAACAATTATAATTTCTTTTTTTGGGGTGGGGGGTCGAGTTGTGGGGCCTGAACTGTGGGCCTGGGCACTGTCCCTCAGCTCTTCAGCTCAAGGCTAGTGCTCTACCACTTGAGCCACAGCACCACTTTCAGCTTTTTCTGCTTATCTGGTGCTGAGGAATCGAACCCAGGACCTCATGCATGCAAGGCAAGCACTCTACCACTGAGCCACCTTCCCAGGCCCTTGAGCTTTTTGATACTTAATTGGAGATAAGGGTTTCATGGCTTTTCCTGCCTGGGCTGGCTTCAAATTTTGATCCTCAGATCTCAGCCTCTCAAGTAGCTAAGATTACAGGTGTAAGCCACTGGCATCTGGTTCTGCATATAGCTTTACAGAAAAATAGAGTGGAAAATAAAGATTAGTTGTAATCCACTCCTTTCCTGCAAAAAACACAGCTTCTCCTGCCATGTATATATTATACTAGCATTGTATATTTGCTAGGAACAACAAATCAGCATGGACTCATCATTATCACCCAAAGTATGCCTTTGGGTTTATATTAGGGTTAAGGCACTCCTGTGTATCTATCTCTGTACTGTCATACAGAGTACTTTCACTGCCCTCAAATTCCCCTGTGCTCTACTTATTCATCCCTCTCATAGCCCAAACAAGTCATCTATCTTTATAATGCTGCCTTGTTTTTGCGTTTCTAGTAGATGAAACTGTTGGAACCATGTAACATTAAACCATTTCAGATTGGCTTCTCGCCCACAGTAATATTCACTTCAGGTTTCTCCATGTTTTTCATGGCTTGAGAATTAATTCACATCTCAACAACATTCTTGTCCCTGGAATGCCAACAGGCTATAAAATTGCTCAAGTTAGCACTCACTTGAACCTCATTTGAAGGTTTTGAACCTTTTCACTTGTGAAATAAGGATCATCCATAATTATATGATCCCTGTAATAGTGACTTGCAACCCCATCCCTTTATATAGTTTCTGCCCTTCTTTTTAATTGCTTGAAGAATAATTATCCAAGACCTCCTCAAACTGAATATTTCCTGACTTATAACCTTTGCATCACTATCCTCTATCCTATCTTCAAGATCTTAGCTAACTGCAGCTTCAGTCAGCAGCTTTTGCTGATTCTGCATGTGGAATAACTCTTTTTGTTTCTTTCTAATATTGTTGCCAATAGTTTTCAATTCAGAGGCTTTTGGCAGTTTTAACAGCATTGTTACTGGTTTTTCTATTCTCTGTTCTTCCTCTCATTCTTCATCTTTTAATTCATCTTCCAGATTGTTCTGAGAATAATTTTCTTAAAATCTCACTTTTGCATGTGATCATCTAGCAAACTTTTTTTCAATACATACTTTCTTTGTTTTTTCATTATTCCATCAAGAATATTCACATTTTTGTTTATATTTGTAATGCTTGCTATATGATCTCCATAATATTGCTATTTCTCTCTCTCTGGTGTGTGTGTGTGTGTGTGTGTGTGTGTGTGTGTGTGTGTGTGTGTGTGTGTGTGTGTGTGTGTATTGGGACACTTGAACTCAGGGCCTGTTGCTTTCACTTGGCCTTTTCTGTTCGGGCTGGTTCTCTAATACTTCAGTCACACCTCTGCTTCAAGCTTTTTGCTGGTTAACTGGCCTTTTCTGGTCAATGGACTTTTCTGTCTAGGCTGGCTTCTTAACTTAATCTTCTAATCTCAGCAGCCTCCTTAGGATTATAAATGTGAGCTATTGGCACCTAGCTAATATTCCTATTTCTGCTCTTACTCTTCCTTGCTCAATTCAATAGCTATACTAATTATAACTTGGTAGTCAAGAAATCTAGGAAGTATTCACACCTCAACAACATGTTTGTGCCTTGTATGCTGTAAGCCATAAAATTCTTCAACTTGACACTCTTGTGTTCCTCAAATCAAAGGAAACAGTCAGGAAAGGGGAAAAAATGACTAACAGTATAATCAATAGTACTGAATACATAAAAAATATCCTGTAAACTGTCCCCAAAAGCTATCTATGTTCTTCAACAAAACTTTATATCCTTTAGTTAATATCTCCTCTTTCTGCTGCTGCTTCTTCCCTCCCTCCTTAGAAACCTACTTTCTGTCTTTTTGTATTTATCTGTTCTAGGTACTTCATATAAATGAAATCATCCA